ATAAAAGGATTTAAAGATATTGATAAATTCTGAAAGGCAAATTTGAAAAATTGATTAAATAAAACAAACCATTGGAATTTATTTTCCCTCAAAAGGTTTCTTATACTTAGAGACCATCTTGGCATTTCAACAAGGTTTTTTTCAGATTTTCAAGTTCAATAATAAATCCCTCCACATCTCAAGTTTGTCAGTCCAAATCTTCTATATATGCACCATATGTTTTGCAATTAAAAAAAGTTTGTATGACTTATTCATTTTATAAAATGCCTTTTTCAACTATGGGCCGCATCCAAGCATTTTTTGAGTGAGGGGTTTGCCAGGTTTGCCAAAAATAAAATAAAAATGGATATGGGATATATATATATTTATATAGACTGCTTTATCACTCCTGGTCTTAATGGTATAATCTGCATTGTGCCCCACTCTTTCTCTCTTTTCTCTCAATTTTCAAAACCAATAAGGAGTATATTCCACATCTATAAGGATAGATTAGATTCTCAGAAAATACTCTCACGTTCATCAAAGTCCAAGCATAAAAACCCATAGACTTTCACCTGGAAAACCCACACCTGATCATTTCATTCCAGTTTGCTATAGACTAAAAAATCAGTTTCCCAGTGTTTCCTCATTGCTAAGCATCATGAAAGTTATAATCTTGGCCCTGTGTTTCTTGGCTGTGACTGCAACTGAGACATCAGAACCAAGTTTGACCATTTTTCTTCTTTTTCAAAAGCTCCCTGTGTGTGTGTGTACAATGGTGTGCTTATTTTTGTTTAACCCATATATATAGCTACTGAAGAGACCACTACAGCTACTCAGAAAACCACCCAGCAGGAATCATTGTCTGAGGATGCCCTGCAGAAGTTGGCAGTGGAGTTTGTGAGCTGGCTGAAGCAGAGAAAGAATGGCCATGGGGTTGTGCAACAGAAAACTGCATGGTTTGACAGGGATGGCAAGGCTCATCTGCAAGAGACCCATTCAGTTTTCAAGAGAGAGGCTTGCAGCAGGTGTTCCAGAAGGAGAGGTGGCTGCAAAAGCTGTGGAAGGAGGGGCTGAAGCTGATTCAAACTCCACCATGGACCACTTTAGACAATGCTCTCAATCTATGTCTTGAGCTTGACCCAATAAACTCATCCTCTTTCTCCCAGCCTCAATATTATTTATTTTGAAAAGTGTCATTGCATGGGTTTCCTCTTGCATCATTTCATAAAAAAATGCCATGACTGCAAGAAATTTCTATTCTTCAAAGCATTACATGTATTTAATCAGAATTAGCAGGAAACAAGGAACAGATTCATGAACACTTTTAAAGTCCTGATGGAATGATTTTTCTGAAGTGCAAGAAACAGTTTCAAATAATTCACTGAGATTTGTAGTGATTTTTAAATTAGGTAGACTTATTTCCATTACCACAATAAATATGGAAGCTTCATGGTTTAGCATATATAATCCATTTTCCAAATACAGTAACCCTTTTTATTTTGTTATATGCACATGTGAACAAGGTGAGCTTTGGAAATGTTCACTTGTGGTGTTGACAGGTTTTTTTTTCTTTAATGGCCTCCATGGAAACATTTCACTAGACTTTATCAGGCATGTGATCAGATGTGGCAAGCCTAAAGTGGAAAAATCAGTGCTTGGGACCAGCAGAAAAATGTGTGCATGTAGAACCACCTGGTTGTTTCCTCTCCTTCTCCAACAAACACTGAATGAAACATGCTGCCCCCCTTTGAAAAAAAAATTCCAAGGGTTCCAAAAACAAAATCCTGTTATCAAGCTCAAGCAATATATGCAGCCTTTCCTCTTTTCTACAACAGCACAGGAGCCAGCAGTCCTTTTCCCAGGTCTGGAGAACTGACAGGTGTTTTGGCAGTTAGTGCTGCTGAGTGTCCTTCCCTCTCTTGAGAAGGGATTTTCTGGGTGGGGAAAATAAAAACATTGCCTTCATTTTTTCTGTCCCACCCCAAGTTCCAGGGTGGGGCAAAAGGATTGGATTCCTGTCCCCAGGTGGGTGTAAATAGCCCAGGTGTTACTTTGGAAAGGGAAAGATTACAAGGGGTTAATATAGTGAAAGAGACAGACAAAAGCAAAAGGGCATTTTCATCTCCTGTGTATATGTGACCCTCTTTTTGGAGTGAATCTGCTAATTTATAGTCAGTGTGTAGCAAATGTCATGTAACCCTACCACATGCCCTCACTCATGCAGAAAACAGGTGTTGAAAAAAAAGAAGAAAGGATCCAGGCTCCCCAAGAGAAAACTCAAGTGTTATCCACAGCAGTCTGTTTATCTTATTTGGATAGGGGAAATTTTGTGAGAAGGAAGTGGGTGCCAGAAAACCGTTTCCAGAATCCGTTGCTTCCAGGTGTCTCTGTTGTCCTTCAACCTGTTGAGCAGATCACCAGGTGTGCCACAGATATGACTCATTCTGATGAACTGGTGCAACAGGTTTGATAGACATGGAAGCATGATGCTGCTGCTGCTGGGGGCCATGGTGCTGCTGGCTGCCCTCTTTCAACCATCCATTGCACACCGCATAGCCTATGGTGAGTTCAATATAGTGTATATGTAGGAAAAAGTGACAATGTCAGGTCATCATATCCTTCCATCTGTGTCTTCAAAAAAGTCCTCAAAGCACTTTGTGATGGTGTGAGATAGTTCTACTTGAACCAAATCATGTGCATCTTATGAGATGAACCAGGTCATCATGGTTCCTTGGCTTCCCAGCATTTTGTATAGAATTGTATTGAACAGCAAGCTTTATTTCCTGCTTTTTGGCATTCACAAGGTTCAAGCAACGTTCCCACGCTAAAACCCCCTCCCCACCCACATTCATCCAAACACATTCCATCACATCAGAATGCAAACTAGATAACTAAACTGTATATGGATATTGAAAGAAAAGAAAATACACCCCAAAATGTACAATTGCACAACTCATGTAAATACACGCACGTTCTTCCTTTCCCCAATAACAAAAACAAAATTTCAGTAATAAGAATTTCAGCATAAGACAACTCTACTGAACCCAAATTAAAGCACAAGGTGTTCAGCCTGCTCCCAGATAAGGTTTAGTTGATCAAAAAATGTGGAGAGAATCTTTGATGAGAAATCATATAAAGTTAAAAGTTGATCTTGGTCCTCCAAGAATTTGGAAAAAGCCATCTGGTTGAATTTTAGGAGTCCCAATTCTTTTTGAAGCTCCTTTCTGTAGCTGTGGAATGCTGGGCAAAATAAAAGAATGTGCTCTGCTGGTGTTGCATTTTGTGATACATCCTGGATATACATTTGGGATGCATATCCAGTTTTAAAGTATCTGGCAATGAGTGAGCCATATCAGCTGCTGCACCAAAATATAAGGACAATAACCCTCTGATACCACTTCAGGACACATATCAATACACATCTCAGATACACTTTTCCCACAGATATGCTTCACTTACTTGCTGGGATCAGTCACCCCTTATGCACATTTGATCTGCATATTTCTGACAAGTGTGTTCAGACCACCCTGAAATTTATAGGCTTTTTCTCATTTTTAAATGGTAGCAATAAAAAGACAACTGACCAAAACCACTGTAAATTTGTCATGGATCAAGTTTCTTCAAATTATGGTCAAGTTTTGATGAGTTTCAGCTATTTTGGTTGACATTTTTAAAAATTCTGAGCTTATCTGCAATGATGTTCAGTTGAATTTATAGCTGGAAAGGGAACTCCTATGCTTATATGCTCATAGAAAATCATACATTGGTGCTGCTTGGTGAAGGGTCAGTTCTGAAGTGTATATGGCTCTTGGAAATCAGGAGTGTTTGCCAAGGCATGAACCAAAATGTTTACATTTGTGTACATATACAGACCCATTGAAGGATCCAGACTATTGGGATGGTGTGTCCCAGATGAGCCCAGTGGAGCGCCTAGCTTTCAAGGAGTACGTGCAGTCAAAAGTGAATGGTGCAAGACACATGGTCATCCCAGAGTTTGTGTATGCAAAGCTGAAGGCAGAGGCCAGCTCTTCTAAAACCACAAAGACCACCACACTTGGTCCCACATTGGCTGCATCCCTTTCAGAATCCACAGGAATAGTGCCCAGGAACATCAGACCATCCAACTTGATGGTGACCATGGTAGACCCTGCGGAATTCCTCAAGGTTACTCCTGATGCATCCAAGAAGAGCCCCAAGCTGGTCCTGAGAATTGGGCCAGAGTCTGTTAGTCAATTGCCAGAGCAGGAATTCAAGGTCTTAGTGACTAAGGTGGGAGGCCTGGAATCCAAGATGCTGAGTAAGGTGCCAGCAGAGAAGGAATTCAAGTTAGTGGATAAGTTGCCAGAGAAGGAAGTCAAGGTGGTGGATAAGTTGCCAGAGCAAGAATTCAGACTACTTTCCAAGTATCCAGACAAGGAATTGAAGCTGGTGACTAAAAGTGCTGTTGTACCTGAGACAACCACTGCTGCTGGGAGGCCAGATGTTTCTAACCCAATGACTCGCTCATCACAGACCATCCAACTTTCCCCAATGAAGTTCTTCATGTCTTACAAATCCACCCCAAGCAGCAATATCAACCTCTCTCAAATAGCCAAGCACTTTGGCAACAGGCTCCAGAACATGTGTAAGCCCAAGACCTTTGTTCTACCAGAGGCAGTGATGAGGAATGAGCTGCCTAAAACATCAACACCAGTGCTGAGACTAACAGAAGAAGTTACAGAGGTCAAGACTGAATCATCACTTGCAACACAAAGACCTTCAGGCAAATCCATGGGCTTGGGTAAACTCTCTTTAATCAATGACAGCAAACCAGAGACTGACACTCCTGTTCAGCTGCTGCTGAGTGCCATGGAGAAACAGTTCAGGACCAACAAAGACTCCAATAAAATGTTGAACAACCATCTGAAGAACCTTTACAGCCTTCTGGGTACATCTCAAACTGTGAGTCAACTTTTTATTTTACTGTTGTGATGATGGTTCAAAAATTGTGGTTTTGATTGCAGCCTTCAGTCCAAAATATGCTCAAGGATGTTGAAGCTGCATTCACTACTAAACCCCAGATGCCTCTGGATGTCCAAACTGTTTCAGTCAATGAAAGAGATGATTCAGCCAAGGAAGACAGACTGGACCCAATAATTCACATGTCCCAGAGGACAATGGACTTCATGAATGAGCTCCTCAAAAAGAGAAAATTTGAATTCCCAGAGGCTTCTCCAATCAATTCCTTCTCAGATGACTTGAGAAAAGATCAACAGCAATCTCTGATGTTGCAGAAAATGAAAGATAAAATGTCTGCTGTATTACTCAAGTCAGGATTGTTCCCTGAATTGATGCCACCATCATCATCAGGGGTCTCCAGGCTTGGGAATAGTGACTTTGACATGAGGAAACCTTTGAATGTTGAATCATCTTTGATGAAACTGATGAGGAAGGAGCAGAAAGTTCCCAGCATGGATCCTCAACCCATTTCAAACCTGTTGCTGTTGAGAAACAAAGGGGATAACTTTCTTTCTTCTGATGCTAATGTCCTGCATGCTGCTCCTCCTGCTCCTCTTCTGGCAGCTGCTCCTCTTGCTCCTGCTGTACCTTTTCTTCAAGATCCAGCAGCATTATATGTAAGGGACTTTACTTTTTAATATTTTCAAATCTTATACACAAACAAATACTGTCATTTTTTGGGGTTGAATGACCTCTTTTTTGGGGAATAATAATCAATTTTGGAAAAGTATATACTGTACTTCATTCTTGAGATGAAACAAATCCTACACTTTTGAAAAGAATAATTTTTGGTGGAATGCAGGATCAAGGACAAATCAAGACCTACAAATTGAGACAGTGCCAATTTGACATAGACACTATTTGAGGCAGACACCTTTTGAGACAGAGACAATATGAGATAGATAAATTTTGAGGCAGAGGCTTTTTGATACAACATTCTGTACAGGTGGCACCTTGCAATTTGACTGTAATCCATTGCCAAACTAGGGTCAAATTGCAAAGTAGTAAAATTGCAAGACAGTTCATAAAATTCAAAAATATCAGTTGAAATACACAAAAAAGTGGCCAAAGCAGGTCAAATTTTGGGGCAAAGGTCAAATTTCAAGTTAACCTCCTTGAAAATTTGTCCATCAAATTAGAGAACTGTCAAATTGTGAAGTACCACCTGTGGTTAAAACATTATATTGTGCAGGGAATGTTAATCAATGTATCTATTTAAATGTTGAAAAAAAAAATTTAGTAGCATAGATATATGTCTCTTGATTGGCTTGTTTCTTTTTTCTGTGTTCCAACATTCTTCTGTTAGAGGAAAATGTGAGATTTTTCAAATTATCTGGAAAAGTGAATCTGCAGGATTTAGATATTAGAATTTGAAACACATTATTCCCAGACATTACCAAGTAGTGTAGCTTTTTGATTGTTTTAGTGTTATATTTTGAAATATAGTGATTAGGACCTTTTCCTGTCAATTTTTCAAAAGTATGATGGATTTAACATTGCATAATGGTAACCAGAATCCCTTATATAATTGACCAGTGCACTGTTAAAAATGATCAATTTGCCATATTTTATCCTTGTAGCCAAGCATGAGGAATGTTCTACCACTACCTTCAAGATCTCCAGTATTGATTCCTCCTGCTCCAAACCCACAACTGCAACCACATCAGCAACCATCAATGTTCCAACCTGGTCATGAGCAAGGAGGTCTGCAGTACCAAGAGGTCCAGCCAAGCATGGCAACCATGGAAACCTGTCCACCTGGGGCAGTGTGTGCTGCAGCCCTCATCAAAAACAACAAATGGACCCAAGAGCAATTGAGCAGCTACCAAAATGAAGACCTCAATGGTGTGCTAACAGGAGACTGGGCACCTCAAAAGAGTCCTCCAATGGATAATTTGGTTTTCAACCCTATCCCAGTGTACTACAGGGAAACTGGGGATACTAGTGTGGCAGGTGCTGAGGCACCACCATCAGCAGCAGGCAGCCAACCCATGGTGGTACCTGGAGAACCTCCTGATGATTCCATCCAGAGTGGCAATAATGAAGAGGATGAACCAGTGCCTGATTTCAGACCAAACAGACATTCCAGTGATCCTGAAAATGAAAATTCAGCATTTTCCAAAGAACAAGACAAAGTTGATTTCATGGTGTACAGGAAACCCAAGGCCAAGATGCAATATTCCAAGGTTCCCAAATTCCTGGTGGAAGCCTTGTGAACAAAAATTATGTGCATGAGAATAAACATCCTCCAGAAAAAAAACTGGCTTCTTTTTATTTAAACCCTTACAAGTGACATTCAATTGAATTTTGCTCAGAATACAGTATAATTGATGAAATTGATTTTTTTTAATAACTCAAGGCATCCACAGACTCAGTTACCTATAAGCTCAATATTGACAGAAAAAAATCATAATGCATAAAAGCAATTAATAACCTCTGAAACCTTACTTTCTAGTCATATAGGTGCACCATCTGAATGTGGGCAGCTGGAAAATTATACAATTCATCCAGGTTAACACATTAACTGCCAAATTTCCTGCACACCCACTTTTGCATTGTTTCACTTCATTTACATTCAGATAGGCGGAGGAAATTTTTTTTTATAATTTTTAAATTCAAAACTTTGTCAAATATTTGAATTTTAAGTTTGATCCCCAAATGGGGCTCATGGCAGGTCCCATCTTCTTTAATGAGAAAAATCTTTTATAAATTGGAAAAGTTATATTTTTTTGGCTAAATTTATTATATTTTAAATATCTATAAGGATACACAAAGTACCCATTTATCTAAGTAAATTGGTCACTGAATTCAAAGCTCAGTCTTCCAATTCTAAAAAATTGATTTGAACATATGCAAAAATACTGCAGAAAGGGAATTTATTATTTCTGAAACTTCATCTTTTCCTTCAAATAAGACACTTGAAATAACTGCAGCATTGAAAAACCTTTTATATATCACCTGCTGAAAAATTTTTCAAATTTTGGACAACATACTGTACTGCAATGTCCCAAGTTAAATTTTTGAAAAATGAAGGAAAATCCAGGCTGGAAAACTTTTTCATAAATACTGTGATAACTTGATATCTTCCCCATAAATCTAGAATAACACACAAGTGATGTCTGCATTTTGAAGATATTTGAGAAAACTTTTTTTAAAAATTGCATATACTTAAAAATAATTCATGAACTATATATTTGAAACCCAGCATAATGAGAGTCACTGAATTTCCATCTCGCGGTTTCTGATATATGAGAGAACGAATTTCAATCATGATAAATTGCTGGAATCCTCCTCAGGGATGAAACTTTACCATCTCCTCCATAGGCGACATCTCAGCAAGCTCTTTCAAAACTTCCCAACTCCTGTCTCCCTTCAATTTCCTCATCCAGGTGTCGCTCTAATTCAGACTCCTCGACCAGGAAGCGCGCGGCTGGCTTTACCACACTTTTTGTTTGTTTGCTCCTCGCACGCGGAATATTTTTCGTTTCCTCACAACTTGTGTCAGACAGAAAATCAAACAGAGGATCTTCCTTGTTTTTCCATCGAGGGAAGCGGGAAGAAGAAGCAGAGAAAAAATAAATGAAGCCTGGATGATGAAGAATCTTGAAAGTTGAGGGGAATTCCGTCGCCGGTTTGCTGCTGGAGGCGTCCCCGTCATAGAGAATGCGTGTCGCCGCCGTCCTCTTCGCGTGTGTCGCCGTCGTCCATGGTGAGAAAGAAAAAAGATAAAGAAAGAAAGAAAGGAAGCAAGGGGATATAAAAACAACATACGCTGTTTTCCTTTTTTCTTGGTGTGCCAAAATATTGCCACAAAATATGATGACAACAATATATAAGAGGCGATGCCAAAAGAAAAAGAACTTTCCTCCCAAAAGGAAGGGGATATAAAAACAACATACGCTGTTTTCCTTTTTTCTTGGTGTGCCAAAATATTGCCACAAAATATGATGACAACAATATATAAGAGGCGATGCCAAAAGAAAAAGAACTTTCCTCCCACTTTTTTTTTTGAGTGTGTATGTGCTTAGAATCAAAGAAAAAGCAGGGCATCAAAACCCCAGCAGTTCCCTCTCACTTCCAAACAGTGAATCTAGTCATGTAGTTATCAGGGAAAAAAATATTTCATAGTTGAACCACTGCTGGAGAGTGTTAATAATTCATTCATTTTGGAAAATCTTGCTCAACCTTGGGATTGAATTTAAAAATGTTTCAATCGTCTCTACAATTTAGGATGCACTGGACAAAAATATATTTTAAATGCTAAAAGCATTTCAGTCATTTGAGATGCCCCCAATCCCTGAATTTTCCTTTTTTTATGATCACAATTCCTTGCTCATAAAAAGCAATAATGGAAAATAAATGAGTATCTTAATAGGACTATGCATATCAGGACATTAAACATCCACTTGGTTTAAAATTTTCATTCACAATTTCAGTTTCTCATCAAGGACCTCTGTTTTATTCCTAGAACTGAGTTACTTTAATTTTAGACTTGAGGAATATCAGTGGAAAGTACAGTATAACCTTTTCAGAGCTACTCAAGTTTTCCTAGGCTTCAAAATGCTCCAATTTTTACGTGTTGGTGTCAAAGTGTAAAGATGTTCACTAAATAAAGTTCTTCCGTAAAGACCAATATCAGGTAAAGAAACTTTAAATATTGAGATAAAATAACGTGTGTCGTCTCCTGGGACCTAGTTTTATATAAAAAAATTTGAAGATTCTTTATTATGATATTGTTTGCATGTCCATCTGTCTTTTTTTTTAATTGAAGGAGTACAATAAAATATCAAATTCCAGTCATCAGCAATGCTAATTTGAAATCCGTGATTCAAATTCAAATGTCCATAAGGGTAAAATAAATTTTATAAATCTGGGAAGCAGATCCATGATCTTAAGTCCATATCAAATTACTTAGTGGCATGAACTGGTCCAGGTCTCAATTGGAAATTCTTGATATTGTTCCACCATTCTTCTTAGAAATATACAAACATATTTAAGATTGTTTCACCACCAATTTTATTCAATTATATTGCATCAAATTTGGTCAAAAGTCATGTTATGTGATGTGGAAGATGCAGACTAGGATATTTTCAAAGATTGAGACACGCTGGAATCACTCTTGATTCTTTTTATTATGTAAAGAATTGGTGGTAATACTGCATATTTTGCATCATCAGTAAAACAAGTTGACTGCACTTGCAAGATTTAGTGATTTTGAAGACTTTTCAATGATTCCTGAATTGATGCCTGGCTGTGAAGAAATGGTATAGGAATGCAGTATTAGTTTACTTTTTTATAGGGCATCCTTGCCATTTAGGAAAAGATGCATCATTCATTTGTTCTTGGCAGTGGCATGCTTACTTATAAGTTTGACAACACATACTTTTGACATTACAGTATCAAATTGAATTGAAGAGCAAGCTTTATTTTCAGCTTTTTAGGATTCACAAGGTTCAAACAACATTCCCACATCCAAACCCCCTCCCCTCCCCACCCACATCCATCCAAACACATTCCATCATATACATCAGAATGGAAAACAGAGAAATCAGCTGTATATGGATATTGAAAGAAAAGAAAATACATCCCAAAATTTACAATTGCACAACTGATGTAAATAAATTACAGGTGGTACCTTGCAATTTGACCATCATGCAGTTTGATTGTCTAATTTCCTAGCTTGGAGGTCAAATTGCAGTTTGACCTAGGCCCTACAATTTGACCCACAAATATGGATACAAATGTGAAATACAAATGTAGAAAACCTTGCATTTGATGCTGCTTTCAAATTTGACCACTTTGCAATGGGACCCTAAATAGTCCAGCAATGGATTAGGATCAAAGTGCCAGGCACCACCTGCATTTGACAGAGAGTTCTTTTATTTTAAATGAATGAACACATACTCAGGGTGGTCCCCATTACCAATTGAGTGTGTGTTGGTGTTGGGTTTCCTGGTGATCAATCATTTTCCTTTATGTAGGATTTGCTGGGAATTTGTTGAACCCAAGAGCAGCAGCTGGGCAGCGCAGTAGTGAGGAGTATGCAAAGCCACAGACAGCAACTCAGTCCACAACAGACAGTGAGGATTACATGGAAGACAAGAAATCTAAGCATCCAGGCCACCACCCCACTGTGGGGTACTTCAAAAGACTGTGTGCAGGAGACAAAGGAGTCCTTGATGATCAGAATAGACACATTCCACCCATGAGAGAAGAGGAGATTGATCAGTGGTTCAAAGTCCATGAGGTCTTGTGGACTCATCCACCAACTATTGTCTACAAGGTGATTCTCATCTCAATATTGTATCTCTGGTATTACCCTCATGTATCCAACTGATGGATCATAATGATTATATTTGGACCATATAAATATATACAGAATACAAGTACATCCACAGTATATATATATATATATATATATATATATATACTGTATTTACTCAAGTACCATGCGCCCTCCAAGGCGCGCACAGGGGGTTTTTCAGTTGAAAATTTTGCCAAGATCTTATCCCCAAGTAAGACACACACCCCAATTTTTAGTGAATCTAAAACCATAAAATTTCAAACATAAAAACAAAAGATTTGACTTTAGGCATGAATTGAGCAAAAATCTGATCAATTTTCAACTTTTTCAATACAAAAATGTTTTCTTGTTATATTTGTTCAAATTTCTCCATTATGATTAAGTATAATGCAGACATAACTTCCTAAAACTTATTGAAAATTTTGTACCCGCTTATGACGCGCACCCTTTTTTTCTTCTGAAATTTGGGAAAAAAGGTGCACGTGGTACTCAAGTAAATGCGGTATATGTACTGGATATATACATACTGTACAGTACATATTTTTGTGTATACTGTATACAGGTGTTATAACACAAATGTTTTATTCTCTCAGTTGGGACAACAAATTTCTTTTCTCTTCAAAAATTGATCACATGCATAGTGAATATTCATTCAAAAACCAACTCATAGAGCTTCATAAGATGGCTTTTATGAATACAATACTTGAGTATTTAGATTGAAACCTTCTGTTGCACGTTGAGATATTCATAATTTTCTGGTATCTTTTGGCTCCCAAAGCAAGTGACACTACAAAAAACATTGAGTAATGACTTGGAAAATTTATAAACAACTAAAAAGTCAGAAACTATTATTTTCTGAGGATAAGTCTTTCTGTGCATATTTTTCATCTTTTACATATCGTAGTTGTTTATTCTTGATCCTGGGGTTTGATCATTTATACACAGTCAAAATTTGGAGCTTTTAACCCTTGGACGGCAAAGGGTTCTTTCCCATCGCCGGCCGAAATCGGATTATTCTTGTATGCTAAGGCGATTTAAGTTTTCTGAAGGTCAGAAAAGACCTTCCAGGTGGGCTGAGGCAAAGTTGGGATTAATCCAATGAAAAGCCCATTGCTTAGCATAGCATTTTTTTTCATTTTCCCACAAAATTTTTCTGTACAAAAAGAAAAAAACATCGGATTTTTCCCCAACTTCGTCCTCAAATCCCTGTTGTCATTTTTTTATTTTCTGCCCTGAGGTGCAACAAAATTTCGCAAAAATAGTCCAACTTTGCTGCCCAAGGGTTAATAGATTATTACTTCAGAAAATATTAATTTTATTGTAAAGACAAGTTTGCTAAGTCAAAAAAGCTTGATTTCACCACTTTAGCTATAGTTTCATTAATTTTAATTTTTAATTCTCTATAGGGAGTGGATTTCTCTGAGCCTCTATATAAAACTTTCAGGATGATGCATTTAAAAGGCCAAGGAAATCCATGCCAAAAATATAATGTACTGTACCTGTACCTTTTATAAATTCATTTTGAAAAACTAGGCGCCCAGAAGAGATTAATGAACAGCATATTAATTGCTGAGTTTGCATAAAAAAATTGTGTGCATCAGGTGAATGATGAAGAAAACTTGGCAATGTACACAAAGAAAAGGGCAGAAAACTGGAAAAATGCCAAGTCCAGGAAGGGCAGGCATTCAGAGGTGTCATCTAACTTCATTGATCCCAACTAATCATCTGCAACAGTCCAGAACACAGATGTCGCCCCTCAACACCATCATCCAGATGTCACCAGCATATAGCAGGACAAATGAATCCCTTTCCACCACCCTTTCGTGTTTGTGGTGTTTTCTTTTTCATTTCTGTCTTTTACCCTTGTGTCTCATGTTCTTTGAAACCCGGAACTTTTTTTTCTTTTTTTTGTGGCGAGGGACACAGAGAAAAAAAAGTGAAGGACACAAATGCTTTCAAATCCTCCTTTCATCCAAGCCGCGGTTTTGCCTTTTTTTGCGCAAACAAATCGTCACGAAAACTCATCACGTTTTGCAAACATGAAGCAAATCAAACACGAAAAAAAAAATTTTTGCGAGGAACGACGGACAGGAAGAAATTAGAAGAGAAAGAGAGACACACAGTTTATAGCGAGCAGAAAATATACGAACTTGAGCAAACGCCTGATTTCCGGCACCTGCTGTTGCTCTTAATATTCCCTTGAGGAGGAAAGGGAACATACAAAAAAAAGAGGGAGGAAAAAAGAAAAAGCTCCCTTCTTTTCATCAAAATTTGTTCATTTTTCATTTCCTCTTCATTGACTGAACAGGTGTAGGGCGAGGCCACTGGTGTTCCTGTGAAACACTGTTTCAGAATGTCCAGCTTAGACTTGGCTCCAGTTTCCATCTTGTGCCTGGTATTAGTTTGTGCTAGTGGGGATCAAAGAATCAAGAAAACATCTTCCTCTGGTAAGTGATTCTGTGACACAATATAATTGGGGGGGTTTAATGACATAAATAATATAAAAGTGCATGCATTTTCCCCAAATATAATAGGGGAGCAAGAGATCTTCAAACACCCATTCTTTGGACACTTCTTCCTCCCAGACACTATATGACATGTTTTTTTTAATTTGATTTGAAGACAGAGAATTGTTTGTGCTGCAAGTAAATCCTGAAATTCAAGCTCAACACACTTAAATTCCACATGCTTGAAAGATTGTCCCCCAATTATGAAAGAGAACTTTAATTACCCATCCTGAGGACACTTCTTCCTCCCAGACACTTCATGACACGTTTTTTAAAATTTCATTTGAACACAGAGAATTGTTTGTGCTGCAAGTGAATCCTGAAATTCAAGCTCAACACACTTAAATTCCACATGCTTGAAAGATTGTCCCCACTTATTATGGAAATAAACTTTAAATACCCATCCTGAGGACACTTCTTCCTCCCAGACACTTTATGACATGTTTTTGAAAATTTTGTTTGAACACAGAATTTTTTTGTGCTGCTAGTGAATCCTGAAATTCAAGCTCAACACCCTGAAATTCCACATGCTTGAAAGATTGTCCCCACTTTTGGAATAAATAAACTTGAAAGACCTGTTCTGTATGGACACTGCGTCCTTCCAGACCCTTTACAACATGTTTTTGAAAACATCGACTGAACACCAATAACTTATAGTGCTGAAAGTGAATCTGGAAATTCCATCTCATCACACGTAAATTTGACATGCTTGAAAGGTTGTCCCCACATATTATATAAATAAACTTGGATGACCTGTTCCGTACGGACACTGCTTCCTTCCAGACACATTATAGGGACAACCGTTTCTGCCTCTGACCGTCATTTCCCTAAATGTGTGTAAATGTGACATTTTACATTTTCACGCACATTATCAATTAAGATAGTTGGAAAATCAAGCAGGATATGTTTATTGTTTAAATCAACAAAAATATTCCGACTGCATATCCCAAGAACACAGCCTATTTACTGACACTTTTTCAAACGGTTTGAATATGTTCTGTTTAACTATCGTCAGAGTGTTTGACATGCAAACAAAACAACATGATTTCTGATCAAATAATCTTTACTTCCAACTGCTGTACACCTAATTCAGCCATCATTAGGCATAAAAGATTTTTACAATGAATTGTACTTTCTCCCACTTGATCATGAAATGTATTTGAATGCCTTTACAAGATTATTTGATCTAGAGTAAAATGAATATATCACCAATGACACTGCTTTGGAATATAATGAATATTCCATTTTCATTTGGATGTGATTCACAAATACTGTATATGGGAAACCATCCTGAAAGGCATGTTCTAATCTATGCACACTTTCCCATTCCAAACAGATTGTAAATTAATTGAACAATGTATTACTATTTGAAGGAAACATTTTATGGTAGTGTTTGAAATAAGAGTATATATATAAAAAATAAAAGAAAGTCCCTTGGCCATTTTTTCCTTGACAATCAAGCTTGTGTTTTATTCATCAAAATTGTGAAACTCTGTTTTGGTAATATGGTTATTTTTTATTGGAGTTGAAGCACTCAAAATGTGTTCCTTCTTATCTTGCAGTTGTGGGTGACATAGATGTCAATGAGCATGCTGAGCAGCTGAGAATAGCAAGACAAAATGTGTCAATGACAACAACAGTGGCTCCATCTAGTTCTTCAAAGCCCCCAGATACAAAGCCTATGACCAATGAAGTTGCAAAGCCCATTGATAACACTACCATGCACTCCACAGTGACTGCTGATGGTGTCAACACCACCTTGCATGGTTCATTTGAAAATACCACCATGAGTACCACCACCATGGCTCCAACAATGGTGGTCAACACCTCAGCTTCTGTTACAGTGAATACCAGTGAAACACCTGCTGGTAACATCACTACCAGCACCACCAGCAGTAATGCCATGGATGATGCAGGGAAGAAAATTAATCCTGATGGTCTTGAACACAATGGTACCAGCACTGCTGCAGCAGAAAAAACAAAAAAGTCTGATAAAAGCAACAAGGAGCCAACAGTGGACCCTGGTGAAACCACAGAGCCAGCCAATACTCCAAGACTAGTGTGGGTGAAACCCAAGCCAGAGGCCTACATTGAACAGCAGAGGGTCAAGAGAGACACCCATCACAAGATCTTCAAGAAGAGCAGACCCAAAAGGGCTCATAATCCATCTTACTTCATGAGTTACCCAAACAGATTCTACCCAAGCTACTTGCCTCAGTTTGTGGCACACTTACCAACTGGAGATGGGAAAAGGCTGGAACAGGCCCCTCTAAGACAAGACATAGTGTGGAAAAACAGTGATTGGTACTCCTCAACAGCTCCTCCTCCTTGGCCCCAAGCCCCCCAGAAATTCTGTGCCCAGTGTTTCTTCAACTCCCCTTTATTGAGTACCACTACAGAGGCCAAAAAGCCAGTGTCTGTTAAAAAGAAGAAGTTGGAGGACAGAGCAGAAGTCAGCAAAAACCCCAAACCCAGAAGAATGGAGTATCCCAGGGTAACAGCATTGTCTATAGAAGAGGTTGAGGGCCTCCCACCTGCCCCAGCCAACCATCACTACTTACTCATCTTTGAAGACCCCACCACAATGCAATCCTCCTTCTCTCACCATGAAGGTGTGTTGCATGTCAAGACACCCACTGCCAAGTTGGCTATAATACATGATGACTCAGACCCTGAGTTCTCATCCATGAAGTCCAAGAAGAAGACAGAAGTTAATGCTGTGGAGCAAGTGGCCAAAACTGTCATGAAGGCAGTGGCCAGGCAACAAGCCATGCAAAAAGAAATCAAGAGAGAGTGGAAAAGAGAGCTTGCCACTTGGGAAAAGAGGTTCCAGGCTAAATTATTCTCTATTCTCTTGGACAGTGTGCCCCCTAATAATAGTGGACAGGTCACCCAAACCCCTGCTGCTCATTTAGAAGGATGGACAAATGACTCACAAACACCAATCAGGCCATCCACAGAGAAACCCATGTCTCCAGCACCTGTGACCAATGGTGAAGCCACTTCAGCATTGCAAGTGCTGATGAATCATCCCTCAAAATCATCATCACCCAAGTGGACACATACCTCTGTCACAAAGCCCATCCAGCAAAACAACATTTACCCAGACAATGGTCTGCAAGAACAACATCTCAGGTCCGTTCCTCAAAATACCATTCCACAAAACATGGCTTCAGCCCTTGTACAAAGTGAACAAGAGCCACTTTTTGACAACCCTACTACAGAGGAAATCCCTGTACGCCCTTCATGAAAATTGATGTGTTTTTTTTTTGCAGAGCCATCAGTGATGTTGACTTAATGGGAATGAATAAAGGCAACAGTGTTTTCAAAAGCATGTTCTGTTTTCCAGACTTGTTTTTTTACTATAAAAAATGAGTTTTTGCAAATATTGGGAGTGGTTGGGAGATGGTCCAGTAATTTGCTGTCATTCAGGAGGAAAGTCATGAAGCCACTGAGTGTCTCTTTCTTGTCTGCTGCCTGTATATTATATTTTTATGCCAGTGTATTGAAAACATGTGCCCAAAATTCCAATATCACATCATATGCACTTGGTAAGTTGATTCAAATAAATATAGTGGTCACCACCAATCATAGTCTGACTTATAGTTGGTATATATGCAACTGATGAGTGTATAAACTGTGGATTTTCATGTGGTGCATAGCTTGAAGTATAATTTGCTGCAAACAACCTTTTTTTTTGGCTCTGAGGACACAGTTGCCAACAGGCCTCAGCAGGAATATGATGTGCATGATCACATGAAGCAGAAATGCTGTTGTACTTGTGGATTGCCATGTTGTCAAGCAATAATGGACCAGCAAGAGGCAGGATTAAGGATTGGACCTCAAGTTTCAACCAAATTTATGTTCACCAAGAAACCTTTACCTCTGGCAGATTTGCTCTTGGACTTTCCTTCTGCTTTGATGCAGAATAAATCAATCAAGATTCCCATGAATAGAATCTCTGATGGGTTTAGGTGAGTTTTCTTTTTAAGAATTGGAGAAACATCATTTGGCCAAATAAAGGTGGTTGTTGGTCCTTGGCATGAGAGACTATTTTCAGCAAATCCAACTCACATCAGACTCTTCAAAAATCATCAAAATGCTACAAAGAATTTTTATACTTTTTTCAAAGGCAATTTGATGTAATATACTTTCATGGGTATCATTTTCACATTTTGCACAACAATATTTGAACTTTCAGTTTTAATGGAGCATATAAAACGTGATATGGCTTGTTATCCTACAACAAGCTTGACACTTCAGTTTCAGTTTCTTTTACGGTTATGTCTTCCTTCTCAAAATACAAAATAATGGCTCAAGACTTTTCCCACGTATTTATTCACTCCTTGTTTTAGTTTTTGGCTTTTGCACTATCTCCCATTAATGCATGTGACCCATTTTCTTTGCAACTATACGTTTCTGTTCCATTTTCCTGTTGACAGTAACAGATGGTAATTACAGCTTCCTGGAACCTAGTTTCTTCTCTTATCATACTTTGCGCTGGTTCCCAAGAACCCAGCATCCTGGCCTAAATACCCCAATAATCTTTCTAGCTCTGAATCTATTTCATGAGCCAAATATCCGTAAGTATATATATACTTCCATATTCATATCATTCATCAGAATCTTCCAGAAAGAATTGAGTTGGAGACTCTTGCAATTGTTCTCAAGAAGACTTGCATTGTTTTAGCAAGACTTCTTTAACTGAACGTATCTTGACTATGTTGTGTGTATTTGAGTGTATTGTGATTTATCAGAACCAAAGAATATATTTAGTCTCATATATATATATATATATATATATATATATATACATATATCTCAAGTGTTTATTTATCCCATTGCAACCACATACCATTCAACCAGTTAAGATAACAGGCTCCAGAAGCATTGTTTTCAATGAAAGTTTCAAGAAATGTACAGTATTTCCAAAATTTGGTGGAAATTGGCATGAAATCCCAAAAACAAGGACACGTTACAAAAATGAAAGTACTCTAATTTTTCAAATTATGCCTGAATCAAAGTAGGAAAAGGAAAGAGTTAGTGGTTGGGAAACAGTTATGGCAAATTGTAACAAATTCAAGTGAAGATTGATTTTCTCCTTTTCAGAGTTTAAGGGTGCTTTCACTGATGCTTTTACTTTTACTTTCACTGCAGGAGCAACACAAACAGAAAAGAATGCCTCAATCTCTGCTTCAGGATGCCAAAAAAGCCAATTACTGAGTCTCCAAGACCCAGTGGAGCTGCTCTGGCAGCCCTGAAGAAGCTGCAGATTCTTGAAGACAAGCTCAATGTGATTCTACAACACCAAAAATCCACACTGGCCAAAATGACCGTTGCTCTGGAGTTGAGCAAACCAAGTTACCTGGAAAAAGAGCCAATAATGCCTCCTGTCAAACATGCCATGAAAAGGGTCCTCATCAATAACAGCACATTTGCAGAAACAACCACTTATGCCATACCCTGACAGAGTAGAAACTAGTGCCAGCAGTAAAAGAAGCAGACTTTTCAATCTTCTGCAGAAACCAGCTGAACCCAACTACATATACACACAGATCAGTCAGAAAACAATGATTTCTTATCAGTGTCAATCCATGATGTGTTTGTGTGAAAAACTGACCAGGGCAATGTTTCCTTCAGGCCACCAACCAGGTGCTCAAAAAAAAGAGCCTAACTCTGAGTATTTTCACTGTCCATTATGTTGACCAGCATGCATGAGAGTCCAGCAATGTTTGAATAAAAACTAATAAATTGTTTTAGCTGAGTAATGCATATAAATTGTCGTTTTGATATTGAATGCACACTTTTGCTGTTTTGACACTCTTCCTGAGTCATGATTTTCAAATAAGTGATGTGACACAATGAAAAATGAGGTGACTGGTAAGGTGCATTATGTGAGACTGTCCCATGTGGACAAGCTTGGCACTTGTTCAACACTTCTACATAGGAAAAGCTGCAGTTATTTCTGCAAGGATATGTTTTATGACTATATCCTCTAGCCCTCCCCAAAAAGGCCCCTTCTTGTTGGCCATCAAGTATTGACTGAAAAGATCTGCACACACTTTAGCCCTCCCCCTTTGGTTTCTGCATACATGGCTATAAGCAAGGGAGAGAAAAAGGGGAAATGCTTTCTTTTCTCTTTATGCTCACACCTGTCTCCTTTCATCCCAAGCGACTTTGAGAGAGAAATATAAGAAAACAAAGGAGTAAAATTCAGTGCAAATGACTCCATATTGCATTGTTTGTGCCTGGTCCACAGGCAGGTTCTCCACCAGCAGGGACATGAAATGTCGCAGCAGTGTGTGGTGTACTGTGCTTTGCTGCTTTGGTTACCAATGGTCCTTCAGGCAGATTTCAAGCAGCAGTATTTCAAGGATGATGAAGGTCTGTATCTTCTACCCAATATTTCCCCTCTTACCACACCACCTCTCTGTGTGCCAATTTAGAGTCTAATGAAAATGAGATCCTGATCAGCAGTGCTGGAATGAGGGTCAGGTCTCTTGGAAAGGATTCCAGAAAAATTAAAAGTGGGTTTAAGAACTTTAGGAAGAACCCCTGGGATTCTGGAGAGTCCCAAGAAGGATCAAAAATTTACAGAAGTTACAGGTGAGATATATCAACATTCAATTCTTGTTTAATTGAAGTACTGTGCAGTCAACTCCCGCACAACGGACTCTTGCACAACAGACTGCCTCTGGAAGTGGTTTTCCCTCCTGTGCAATGGACTAATTCTGCTTGACAGACTTCTGCTGGTTTAAAATTTATGGTAAAATGAAAACATTTTTAGTTTTTAATGATTGAATTTGCAGAACAGACTTTTCACACAACAGACTGATCTATATAATGCACAAATTAAGTCTGTTGTGTGGGAGTTGACTGTACCTTGAAAACTACAGACTTTGGTCTTCTCATGTCCTCATGTGTGGTGGTTCTTTGTGTAAGTTTATTATGTCTTTGACTCCCATGAATTTTGTTAAATTCACAAATGAAGTCTAATTTTGGTTTTTGTGCCATTCATGGTTTGAAGTACAGTATATAAGTGAAAGTTGGGAATCAGAATCAAGATTTTAAAGGGGCACAGAAATTTCATTTTTTGTTCTGAAAGAAGTGTAATCAAGTAAAAGAAAGTTAAGAGTATAAATTTTTCAACAGTGGCCATTTATTTTTGTGATTTTATTCATTACTTTGTGTGTCAAGTTTTGGGTTAAATGACCATGGGTGACATTGCAAGGAATTTCCTTGAACACCAAAATATTCCTTCTTGGGAATGATATATTTTCCATCTTTTATTTGCATTTTTAGACATTGCTCTCAAGTGATTTTTCGATTTGCATTGTGTCCAGACCAGCCAGTCCCAAATCCTCACTTCAGTCCAAAGAAACATATCATCAGTTTGGCCTAAACAGAAAGCCAACATTTGCCAAGACCCGGATTGGATCCCTTGCAGGAACATTCAAAAGCGCCTTGAGTGTCCAGGAAGATTTTAAAAATTTCAGACGCATGCCAACCCTCCTCATAAGGAAAAACCAGGATGACGAGGACTCCATGATAAGAAAACTCTCAGAAGCTGAGGTTGCAGTTGGTCCTCTTGGAGCAGTGGTTGTGCTTGAAAAGGAGAAACTGCTCAAAGAGTTGCAGGATGAACCCAAGATCACCAACTCTATGGACCATCATGGTGGAAGAACTGTGTATATTATAAAAGAGTCCAAGACAAAAACAAGTACCACCACTTCAAAGTATGTGGGTTTTAACATGACCATGAACCCCTGGGCAAAGCTGTTCATAGTGTTTTCACTTTTTTTTAAGTCCAATTACAATGGTGACAAGAAAGACTACACCCAAAGTTACCAGTACCACAAGGCCACCATCATGCACCACCACCACTGCCACCAGCACCAACTCAACCATATCTCCCATTTGTACAAATTTACTAAAATCAGCCATTGATATTGTGATTGCTAAGATGATGGGAATGGCAACCAGTCCAACAACTGAGAACCCCAAAAGTTCCAGCACTGAGGGAACCACAATAACAGGTGTCACCCAGACCATGCTGGTAACCACCAGTGTGGATACAGTGTCTTCCCCTACAACAAAAAAGACCACAAAGAGCATGTGGTTTCCTCATGGTCCAGCAGCACCAATGCTTTTGCCTTGGCCTTCCAGAGTGGAACAGTTTCCTGCATTTAAAGCAAATGAAGTCCCTGAAAATGCCATGCCAGATTCTGTCCATAGTGTGAGCTCATAGCATCCTTCCTTTGCCATTACATTGGATTTGTTTTTTATGTTTGTTTTGTTGATTACTTTTATGCAGGATACAGAGAAAATTGTGCAAACAGTGGATGCAGGGAACTTGCCACAGATGCAGATGAATCAATGCCCAATGAATGTTGCACAGGGAGTCAGACATGATGTGAGAAGCCCCAGCATGCATCCACTCACTCTTCACTTCAGGTGAAAAGCAAATTAAAATTTTTGCAGTCTTGCTGCATTACCTTTGAGCAATTCTGCTATTTTAAAATCTCATCAAAGAATTAGAATAAACATGCTATGCAAATAAAAATGTTAAAAATTGCACATCTTGTGATAAATTGTTAATGTAAGTTTTGATTTAAGTTAAAGCTACATTGGCTATATTACATTAGAATTGCAATATTCCATATTTACTGTTTAAATCCTAAATTATTAAAGAAAGTACCTTATATGTTCATATCAAACTGTCCAATTTGAGCAGTTATGATGAGCTCCATAATTTTCATAATGTCTCAGTATGCCATGAATTCCTGATAGTGATTTTCAATATTTAAACTGTAACTTCATTAGAAATCTCACAGTGAACAGGATAATTTCTGAAATGTGGTGACAGTGCAAGCATTGCCTTTCTCCTGTTTTTTGCACATCTATGACATACAGTGAGACCCCTAGATGCGGACATAATTGGTGCATCAAGAGTGTCCCTAATTAAAAATGTCCCCAAGTCAAGTCTCATTTTCCCTTAGACTTACATTATATAATTTTCAATTGGTGTTTCATGTACAAAATAAGACCATGAACCCCTGGGCAAAGCTGTTCATAGTGTTTTCACTTTTTTTTAAGTCCAATTACAATGGTGACAAGAAAGACTACACCCAAAGTTACCAGTACCACAAGGCCACCATCATGCACCACCACTGCCACCAGCACCAATTCAACCATATCTCCCATTTGTACAAATTTACTAAAATCAGCCATTGATATTGTGATTGCTAAGATGATGGGGATGGCAACCAGTCCAACACCTGAGAACCCCAAAAGTTCCAGCACTGAGGGAACCACAATAACAAGTGTCACCCAGACCATGCTGGCAACCACCAGTGTGGATACAGTGTCTTCCCCTACAACAAAAAAGACCACAAAGAGCATGTGGTTTCCTCATGGTCCAGCAGCACCAATGCTTTTGCCTTGGCCTTCCAGAGTGGAACAGTTTCCAGCTGCATTTAAAGCAAATGAAGTCCCTGAAAATGGCATGCCAGATTCTGTCCATAGTGTGAGCTCATAGCATCCTTCCTTTGCCATTACATTGGATTTGTTTTTTATGCTTGTTTTGTTGTTTACTTTGCTGCAGGATACAGAGAAAATTGTGCAAACAGTGCATGCAGGGAACTTGCCACAGATGCAGATGAATCCATGCCCAATTAATGTTGCACAGGGAGTCAGACATGATGTGAGAAGCCCCAGCATGCATCCACTCACTCTTCACTTCAGGTGAAAAGCAAATTGATCTTTTTGCAGTCTTGCTGCATTATACCTTTGAGCATCCTGCTACAGTCAACCCTCGCTTAACGTTCCATTTGCTGAACGTTTTTTGCATAATGTTCCCAGTTGTATGAGAAAAATCCCCTCGCTTAACGTTTGGAAATCCGCTTAACATTCCGCAGTTGTGTGGCATTGCATGATCAATGTGGATGCCTCCCTCCCTCCCTCCTGTACATTTTCTTGAATGTGACTTTTTCCACAGCTTTAAATGTGTTTCCTATGTGGTGGTGTGGTGTTACAATTATTTTATGAACAATTGCAGTGTCAGACACTGAATTTTGGGTAACGCTTAGACCTTTCCTTGTTTAAAATGAATTTCTGTTTTTAATTGAGTGAAGAACTGCATGGTTACTTTTTGAATGTAATGGCAGTGCATAAAGCTCAGTTGTTGGAATACACTCTTTGATTAATTTTTTCTGAATTTTACCTTTTCGAACATTTTGCCTGACAACAATTAAATGTTTCTCCCTTATATCTCAAGGGAGAGACTACCTTGCTTAACGTTTTTTCAGCTAACGTTTTTTCCCTCTGCACCAACTAAAAAAGTTAAGTGAGGGTTGACTGTACTTTAAAATCACATGAAAGAATTCAAATAAACATTATTTGCAAATAAAAATGTTACAAATTTCACATATTGTGATAAATTGCCAATGTAAGTATTGATTTAAGCTAAAGATGCATTTATTTACAAGGCTATATTACATTAAAATTTCAATATTCCATATACTGTAGACTGATTCAGAAAATTTTAAATTCTTAAAGTAAGTTCTGTACCTCTTATGTTTCTATCAAACTGTCCAATTTGAGCAGTTATGATGAGCTCCATAATTTTCATAATGTCTCAGTATGCCATGAATTCCCCATGGTATTGTTCAATATTTAAACTGTAACTTAATTAGAAATCTCACTTGAGACAGGCAAATTTCTGAAATGTGGTGACAGTACAGTACACTATCGCCTTTCTCCTTTTCTTTGCACACATTCTTGATCAAGTATACTGTAGTGTAGAAGATATCTTCAAGTGCTTTGAAATATTATGCAGCTGAACTATTGCAATAATGATACAGTATAAGTAGAAATAACTAAGATTTCTTTGATTTTTATGCATAAAAATTGAAATACAATTTCAAAGCTGTTTTGGAGATCTTGCATTACTGTACATGATTATTTCAGATTGAGAATCCAGAGAAATATGTTCATAAATTTAAATGGATAATTTATGTTTTTTGCAGTTAATTTTTTGGCTCTGAGGAAATTGAAAACATGGTTTGAAGCCACACAGCCCTGGTCTGACTGACTTGAGTTGAATAATTTCCAGCTTCACATTACCCTTTTTATTCATTCCAGGAGTCCTCCTGTGGTACTTCACATCAATCCAGTTACCACAGCTCATCCCACCGTCACACTTAATCAACCCAGCTACCAAGTGCTGCACTATGATGGAGGCTCAGGCCATATTGTCAATTTTCCAAAGACAACTAAAATCCCAATTACTGAAGAACCCAGAATCATAGGGTTCAATCCAGAAGACATTTTCAGGAGAAACTTTGCATTGGTGAATGACTTTTCCTTTCAAGTGACCACTGAAGCCATTGAAACAGCCACTGAAATCTTTACAACCATGAAGACTACTACAGCAAAGTCTAAAATTACAACAAAAAAGCCTGAAACTACAACAAAAAAGCCTGAAACTACCACATCAAGGAATAACACTAGCACACAAAGGCCTCATGGAATTACCAAAAGGCATAAAGCAGCCACAACAAGTGCTAAAACCACCACAACAAGTGCCAAAACCACCACAACAACTGCTAAAACCACCTCAACAAGTGCTAAAACTACCACAAGTGCTAAAACCACCACCACAAGTACTAACAACACTTTGCCCCTATCCACAACTGAAACTTTTTCATTCAATTCATCAAGTACAACCACTAATATACCCCAGATGACCAAAACCACTCCAGAAAGTGTTCTCAGAACATACAACAAAACAACCATACAATCATCTACAATTATGCCAACTGGAGAATCCACAAAAGCAGTTTCTTTACCAATAAAGAAAAATAAATCAAAAAAGAGAAACCGCTTGACAAAAAACAGCAATAAAAATGTCACAGAAGCCCCTGAAATCCCTGAAAACACAGAACCTGTTTCCATACTAGAGGTTGGATCAGAAGCAGAGTTCCCTTCCACTGAAATACCAGCCTTTGAGCAAATGGATCTACCTGGACTTGTAGGCACAGACAATTCAAAACCCAAGCCCAGGAAGATAATCTACATCAAAGCTGCAAAAGTTGAAGGCAATAAAAATATAAAGAAGAAGAAGAAGAAGAGAAAGTCCAAGAAAAGGCAGCATCCCAGGAAGAAAAGAAGTGCTTCATTCACATTCCCACCAGGTGTCACCCAACCCAATTCAGACCAGGAATTCACTTTCCAGCCAAGCATGCTCCAACGCCTTTTCAATAAATACCAGACCACAATGAATGAATTGAGTGAAGTTGAGAAGCTGAGACAGGAAAAGATATCCCAGAGAAGAAGGCATCAGCAGAAAAGTCAGACACAGCTTTGGAGGTCTGAACTTTTATTCTCAAAAAGAATCCCTGGAAACTTTAAAGGACCTCTTGATGAGTTGGACACAAGTTCAGCAGCCCCTGAGCTACTGCCAATAACTTGGGTTGTTGAGCCTGAAAATGGCAAAGGGGATCTCAAAATCTCTGGGTCCATCATTATTGGATGACATGATCTGAAATATTTACCCTTTGGGTCCTTTATCAAGTAGAAGGGTTTTAAAATGCAGAAAAATCTTGGAAGGTCTTTATCTTCATTTGAAAATATATGCATAATATCAGCTGACAAAATATTGCCTGAGGGTTTTTAATTTTATATTTCCCTGTAAAGTGTGGGTAATTTTCTTTTTGTGTGTTTTCTGAGCATGGTCAATGATTGCTTGAGTTTAGTCTTATGTATCATTACATCCCATTGCTAAGTTGTTTTTTTTTTGCTGAGACTTTTCAATAATTTAACCAAATTTGCTTAGGTGAGCTCTCAGTCAGAACAAATATTTTTAAAAGTCAGTTTTGTTTCCCTGAGTCATCATCAGCTCACACTTGGGGAAAACTCACTTTGAAAGACCTTCTCAATCTGATTAAATATTGCTGTTTGTTGTCACTGAAAGACAACTTGAACTTGAGAGCACTTTATCCTGAAGCAAGATTTTTGGCACACCTGCAGAAGCTTTTTGACTGTAGTATTTTGTGCACTTTTTCTTTTTGAATGGGAGGGGTTTTGCAGAAATTTCCTGACACTCCATTTGGAGGATTAAAAGTGTTGGGCATCACTGAACTGTGACCCAGAAGTTCAAAAATCAAAGCTCAGAGCTGCTGGACTGGCACTTTTTTTGGCTCTTTATTATTCACCAAATAAGTGGAGTAAGTAAGAAAACACTTACATTTTGTTTTATTCTCAGAGGAGTTTGATCATGCAACCCGAAATTTGCCCAAGCCCAAGTCCTTGCATCCACTTTAATCAACCAAAAGCAAACAAAGGAGAAAAGAAGCCAACACCCAAGTCTGTTTACTATAGTGATTGCTATAGGTATAGTAATCCTCCTGGGAATTCTGGAGAAGGGGATGCTTTCTAGAATAAACAAGCGCCATTTCTAATTGAGAAAGAGAAAAAGTGAGAGAAAGAAAAATGTTGTTGATGAACAGAGGTGGGACAGGATGATTCCTCTACCTTGGCTGTGATCCAAGATCCTGCTTCACATGGAGCTCATGACTTCTTTGGGTGTGATTTGGGTGGTTCTTGTCTGCAGTGCAGGTTTGTCATCTGATTTTGTTTTTTTGTTTTTTTAAGCCTAGAAATCATTGTGTAAATATTATTGAGATCCTGGTGGAGTTGGATCCTGGGAATAAAAGACATGTTTTGACTCTTTTTGAGAGGCAGCCACAGGGTGGTGAGAAACAAGTACACTCTTTTGGAGCCCCTGGAAGCCAACTTGTACCCTGATGTCTATGAAGAACAAGAGTTACCCAGTGGCAAACTTCAGACACTATTGAGGAATGGGATGCCCATTTTGCACAGTTTCAAAAGTGCCTTGGTCAGGCGCAAAGTGCCCAATGTATCACTATGCAAAAAGGAACCTTTCAAGTTGCTCATGAACCCTATCCCTGATGGTGAGTATACATACCTGCATGGCAATCAAGTCATCATTGCCCATATGCATTACATCCAAAATAGGAAACATTTGCATTATTCCAGAGAAAATGATGGACTCTAGTGAGGAGCACAAAGAAACTCCATGGTTCAATGAGACCAAAGTAGTGTTGATGGCTAGTGCAGTTTCCTCTCTGGACCCTGCAATTGCTGCAGCCAGAGTCAATCCCATTTTGGCCACTATGCACCTGAAAAGACCAAAGCCTGGTGAGAGCAAAAGCAGCAGTTCCAGCAGTGAGGAAGATACCAGGTCTGTGTGGGACAAGTACAACAGTTACATGATCAGAAGTCCACCATCCACCAACCATGTCAGGTGAGGCATACATTCAGTCACAATGATTAATTTTTCAGTTTTGCATAATAATTTATTTTGTAACAATAATTATTTAAAAAAGCGAGTGACATTTCTTCATCATTCTGGTTGCCCAAGCAACCCCTCAATAAAATCCCAAGTGAAAAATAAAGTTTAAGCCTTTTGTTGTTTGTTTAAAAATCTAACCAATAGCTGAAGAGAGGCATGTTTCTTTATGAGTTTTAGTTCAATGAACAATTTAGAGAGACATTCAAGCACTTCAAAGCATGAAACAAAGCACAAACCAATGGCAAAAACAAAAGAGAACACACTCCACAAAATAAAACTGGAAATCCTACACATATGCTGCATACACCCACCCATCCCCAATATTGAAGAAAAAGCAGCAGTAAAAGTTTATTTAAAGCACAAGGTCTTCATTCTGATTTGATGGAAAGTTTTTGGATGAATGTGGGTGGGGAGGGGAGGGGTTTTGGATGTGGGAATTTTGCTTAAACTGCTTAAATCTTGTGATAGTTGTGATTTGTGAATGCTGAAAAGCAGAAAATAAAGCTTGCTGTTCAGTTCAAATTAATTCCACCATTACAATCCTTCCATTGGAAATCAGTCCACATGGATGGCTTTAAAATGTCTTGACTTTTAATCCTCTCATTACCTGTATTCAATCAACTTTAACAGCACAGTAACATTTGAAAGAAAACATACAGAAATGAAATTTTTCGTGGGAAATTATTCGATGAAAGATCAAAATGCACTTGAAACCAGAAAATCACCCCTTTCTAACTTGCGTTTAAATTTGAATATAATTGCAAATTTTCAAGCACAAGTAATATAAATTACCAGGAGTGGCATCTGGAACAAAACTTGATCTACTGTCTTGCTTTTCCCCCTTCTAAACAAACAGTACTCCAAAAGAAAGTTTGATTGTATTCGGAATTATCCTTGAGAAAGCAAATTATTCCTGGTAAGATTACCATGAATTTGAAATGAGAAAAACCTTTCGAAGTTTTCTCTTGGCAGAAAATATGGGAATTATAGATATGATAAGTGCGACGGGCGAAGCTTGACCTTCTTTCGCTTTTCTGAACTAACCTTCTCAGAAGCATATTTGAGCGAAATTTTATTAATGTTACAACCTTGGAATAAAGTCATGAATTTTTCATTTGAGAAACTTCAACATCAAGCGTGAACCCTTTTATCTCAGAATAAAGGTACACCTGCTATATACACAGAGATATAAGTATATTTTGTGGAACGTATATTCCAAAATTGAAAATCATATTGAAATTCAACCAGCATCTCTCAAAAAAGTATGGGAAAAATGAAAAAGTATTTCAAAATCACCATGGGAATGGGCTGTAAAATATTTCACAGTGGTCACAACCGGTTTTCTAGCAGTTTATCCTTTCTTCTTTGCTACAGGGTGATCAAATGAAATAAAAAACAGAAATAGATTCACCCAAATATTTGTTGAATTCCAAGTGTTTGTTGCTCAACATAAAAGATTTTTTGTGCTGCAGATTCGACCTTGCCCTTGATGAAGTACAGTATATTTTTCAAAAATGTTTTTTTGCCCGAGTCGCTCTGTATTTATTTAAAGTAGCTAAAAATAGAATGTATGCCAGTCTTTAAAATCAGCTGAGGGATTTAAAAGTAAACGATGCTCTTCTGGTCAAATAAAGTACAGTAATTGATAAACAATTTTGCATTCAACAAAGCTTTGACTAAAAATGTCTGGAAGCAGTGACACACAGAAAATTGACAATTAATGCAGTGTTTAATGAAGAATGGACAAACACATATTTCTTCACATCATTTGATGGCAAATTGCTTTGTCTTGTTTGTCATGAAAAAGAATTCAATTATGAAGGATACAATCTTTACCGGCATTTCAAGTCCAAGCACGAAGACTTGAGCAATAAAATTACTCTGACAATTGCCAAGCTTGCTTGAAAAATTGACTTATTGGTGACTTTTTTAAATTCAAAGGAGATTACAAATTTCAAAATTTTAGAGGAGATCATTTTAGCCCACAGAGAAGGCTTGCTGTTCAATGTGGCCCTTGACCACATTTGAGTTGGGCACCACTGCACCACGGTGTCAAGCACCCCAGCCATAGCCCAGATGATTGCTGTTTTCTTTATTTAAAAAAGAGATTCAAAATCTTTTTGTCTCAACATCAACCTCTGTCCCACAATTTGACCCTTGCAGAGATTCAATAGGCAAAATAGGTGCAGACACAATGTTGTGCATATATTGTAATGTGGGATGGTGAAAAGTGTGGGTACTTGGCCATGGTGCTTTTGCTGTGCTCTCATGCTGTGCTTTTGCACCCTGCCACCCTGGGTTTGTCCACGTTTCACCACCTTCAAAACCGACCATTACCTGATGGTTGCCAGAATGATGCTGATTGTCCATCAACTCAAGCTTGCTTCAACCAACGTTGCGAGAACCCCTGCCTAACCGGAAGTCATTGCCATAATGTGTCAGCCATTTGTACCCCGGAAGCACACAAACCCGTGTGCTGGTGCCCAGCCGGGTTCAAAGGGGATCCCAGAACCAGCAGTTGTATCCCCCGGGGTTATTGTGACTCAAACGTAGAATGTCCGCTGGACAAGGCTTGCCGAAACTGGATCTGTGTGGACCCTTGCTTGGACACCATCAGGGAATGTGCACCAAAGGCCACCTGCCTTGTTCTGGACCATCTACCTTCCTGCAGATGTCCTTTGGGCACTGAGGGCAACCCGTACAAATTCTGTAGACCTTTGGTAGAGAAACGCAGTGTGTCGGAATGCAGACTTGACTCGGATTGCCCAAAATCTCTAGTTTGCATTGATGAGCACTGCCAAAATCCCTGCGTCACAATGAACCCCTGCCACCCCACTGCTCAGTGCAGAGTGGTTAATGGTATTCCTGTCAGAACCATGATCTGTAAATGTCCTCCAGGATCAATTGGCGATGGATACACCCAATGTAGTAAGTTTAGTTAGATGGCAGCAGCCTCATTTCCATCCCAGTGCAAAGTTGGACTTTTTCCCCTTGGGCTTGCATAACATCTTCGCACAAGGTTATACGCAATCCATGCCAGATGGGGAACGGCAAAGTTGGATTTTATCTAGGGATGAAGAAATGCTGGGAAAGTCCAAAGTTGGACTTTTTCTGTATTGACCTCTAAATCTGGGCTCCTGGCTTTCAAGCTTGAATTTAATCTCTGAATGGGGGAATAACACAAAGCCAGGGGAAAAAGAGAGTCTTGAAGATTTCATTTCTGCATGGAATACTTCTGTGAAAAAATGCCTGGATTTCTTGTGACTTTGCACTGCACACACTGTCATGGTTTTTTTTAAATGCCATTGCTGAGTGCACCCAAAATCTGCAAAAAAAGTCCAAGTTTGCTGCAGAAGGATTAATGTCATCAACTGTTTGTCATGAGTCTGAAACTGTTCAATTCCTCTGCAGTGGAACCATGATTTATTTTGAGCAAGGGTGCAAAAGTGACAACAAATGCTCACAACAACTGGCGTGCATCAGTATAGAGACTACAGAGACATCCTTGCAATTGTGGAATTGGTGCCCTTTGTACAGTGACAAGGATCAAGATAAACTGTTGGCCTCATATGATTTCTCATCAAAGATTCTCTCTAAATTGTTCATTCAAATAAAGCCTATCTGGGAACAGGCTGAAGACCGGGCGCTTTAAATTGGGTTCAGTTACTCTGGCAATTGCTACAATTCTGGCTCATGCTGCAATTCTTGTTACTGATATTTCGTTTTCAATGTCATGGAAAGATGGGGGTGTACGCATATACATTAGATGTGCAGTTGTACAATGTGGAATGCATTTTTTATATTTTGGTATCCATGTAAAGTTTTCTTTCTTTCTCTGTTTCCCACTCTGAAATGATTGAATGTCTTTGAATGAATTTGGGTAGTGTGGGGAGGGGGATTTGGATATGGGAGTGTTGATTGAACTTTGTGAATGCTGAAAAGCAGAAAATAAAGCGTTCTGTTCATTCATTCATACAGTGACAAACCACAGGCTGATCTTCTGATATCCTCCAGGTTTTGAGTGCAATCCTCAGATCTGATGTGAAGAAAGTAATAGGGATATGGATTTATGCATGCAATTCAAAACAACCAGCTCATTTTGTTGTTGTTGCTACACCATGCATCAAAATGATGATGCATTTTCAAATAACCCATACCTATAGCTCATAGTTCAAACAAACTCATTTTTTCCTGTAATTTTTTTAGAAGGAAGTTCACTGATTTTCAGAAATGAATTCCAAAATTTTTTCTGTGTCACCCTGTACGGCGTTTTATTTATTTCTGCTGGCTGAAAAGGATGTCTCTTGAACATGGGGAAAAAAGAGCAACACACACACACAGAAGGATATATATACAGTTGACGTTAACGACACTTCTTATATGTACTCGGTCTTTTTCCTCCCGCCAGCCTCGCGTTTCTGTGTCGACAGCAGCGAATCGACAGCGACGTCGACGAGTGCGTGACCCAGCAATTCAATGCCTCCAAGAATTCATAGTGTCGTTTTATTTTCCTCGTTTCTCCTTGCTTTCTTTCACACACACACTTACTAGGAAATATTATTTTTGGGGACGAGGAGGTATTCATTGATCCTACGTGACTTCTTTTCGTGTCCACATACACGGACGAATATACACATGAGTTACGAGCTTGAGTTACTTATTGTTGCGTGCTTTTCCAGTTTTCCCCCCGAGTAGTCAGTAAAATGTTTCTTGAAACTGTTTCTGTGTCCTTTTAAAATTAAATTTTTTTGTTTAAAGAGGGGGGGGGGGTTGAAAAGACACCGACAATCGGGGGAAAATAAATTCCAGAAAATAAGGACATTTGCAGCTATAAAATGTTTCGGAGTAACGTTGGAAAATTATTCTTGGATCGCTTCGTAATATTCGCTGTTCTGTTCTTCACAAATATGAATATTTTTTAAATTTCCAAACGCTTTGCAAGAATAATATTCCAATCAATAAATGTCTATAGTTCATTTTACGAGTTGGAATTGATCGATTTTCACGGGAATAAAATCAGATTCAACCTCACCGAATTTTTATATTTTATTATTTATTAGCTTATGTATTTCGAATACTTGTGTGCTAAAATTCCTCAGCCCCCAAAAAGCATGATTTTACGCAGTTGTGCTAAATGTGAAGATTTCTTTCCAAGAATTGAAAAAATATTATAGGGCGAAACATGGTTGACATTATTATTGAAATTTCATTCATTGCACGAGCAGAGTTTTGATTGAACGAAAATTCAGTTCGTGGTTTTCTGACTATCAAAAAAAAATAAATGCGTGAAGAAATTAAGTAAAAAAAATCTCGATTCAATATTACGGAATATTCAAAATGCTGCTGAAAAGATGAGAAAATCTACGCATTAAGGTTGAATTTCTGGTCACAGCATTTGAAATTTGAAATTCTTGGCATATGGATAAAAATATTGAATGAAATTCTTCCCTCTTCAACCGACAGTAAGCTGATAATTTTTCGAAAACGAAACACATTCATCATCAGCAACCCACGGATTATTGCACGTTTCAGACGGAAATACGGGGGTTTTTTCTCGAGGAGAAATACAGAGAGAAAACGGCTGATTTCACACCATCAACAACAGACATGCTGCTGCATGCTTGCGAATGATTCCTTAGTTTCATTTAAATTTTTGTTTTTACAATTTTATTCAGTCTTTTTTTTTGTGCGTTGTAAATGGCGTATACAGCAGAGTCAAAAGAGAGGAAAGTCTGTTGATGATGAGAGGGGTTCGCGGGGGGAACCCGAGGAACCCGTGGTCATGTATAAGAGGAGGGGGCACTCCAATTGAGGACTGTAAAAAATTATTGTGGCATTCCAACCGATGCACCTGCAATTAAGCTGGTTGTTATTGCTGCTCTCTCTCTCTCTCCCTCCTAGTTTTTCCATCTGCCATTCAGGGTCCTTATTTCTCACAACAACTGTGAGAAATATTAAAGCCCTGAGCCCTGTTTTCATCATGCGATCCCAATGACTGTGATCAAGCTTGCCCTGCTTTTAATTCTTCAGGGACCATGCACAGCCAGCAACAGCCAGACCATGAGCTTATATACTGTACTGTACACTGCAAAGCCAAGCCTGGTTCACACCTCATTTCTTTGAAGATAAGCAAATTTTTATTTTCAAAAGCTTTGGAAAAGAACAGCTCTCCAAAGTTTTCAATCAACTAAACCTTTATCAGGGAGCAGGCTGAACACCTTGTGTTTTAATTTGGGTTCTGCAATTGCCTTTTGCTGCAATTCTTATTATAGTGATACAGTATTTTCTTTTTGTTATCAGGGGAAGGATGAAGATGAGTATGTATTTATATCTGTTGTAAAATTGTACATTTTGGGATATAATTTCTTTTATTTATTGCTGCTTTGTCTTTGATATTGGGTTGATGGGTGGGTGTATGAGGCATACGTGTAGGATGTCCAGTTTTATTTTGTGGAGTGTGTTCTCTTTTGTCATACATTTGATGTGATTGGGTGTTCTTTTAATGCATGTATGGTGTATAGTAAATTATTTTTTATGGGCCAAAATATGTTGAATAGATCAACTGTTTTCTGGCTCAATACAGTGAACTTCAATTTTTGTGCCAAAACTCACTTATTGTTGTCATAAAATCCTCTTGAACAAATCTTTCCTTACATATTCTCATGGTTTCTTTCTTCAGTTTACTTGTAGTGTGGCAAAAGTGTTTTCCCGTCAATGACGTTTTTAAACAAATGCATATGGTTTTTATTTTAGATTCTAGCATAAAATCTGCTTTAAGAACATATTTGAATATGAAAGCACATTGAATAGCAATTACTTCAATATGATATGGTGAAACTTAGTACAGTAATGTAATATGCAAGGCTGACACAAAAATTATAGGGTTAATTGTATTTCAATGAAGTGAGCAGCATTTGTAAGATATCATACCCATCTGTATTATTAACTTTCGGGTACTATGTGGAATTTTATTCAAATTACGAATGCCTATTTGTAAATCATGTGATTATGCTATAGCACATTAATCTATCTGTTCAATTAAAGTCATTTTTCATCAAAAATGTATGAGATTGCATTTTTCTTTTACTTTAGAAGAAATTAATTGGCAATCTTGAAAGGTACTGATATTGCATCTTTGATGTTGAAATGTATGCAAATTTTAATTTATTAGATTAGGCTCCTGTTGTCTGATTCCCATTACCCCATGTTTGACTCAGATTTAATTATTCCTAGTTTATACAATTGGCTGTCTTTCTCAGGCAAATGCGATCTGCTTATTCTAAATTATTTGCATCTTAATGATGAATGATTGCACTGTACTTATTGCTTGCAGTTCTTGTTCGTATTGGAAATGAGGTATTTTATTTTGGACTTGAGGAATCATTTCATAAAATAATTTATGGAAATGGTGGGTGTCTCATCCCTGGCAGTATCAATTTCTGTCCGTACTCCAGGAAAGAAAGGATTAAATTTGCTTGGCTTTGGAAGAAAATTACATAATCACTGAATGATGACATTGTACTTGAAAAAGCATCTAGGACATTAGATTCAAAACTTGAATATGCAAAATATACAGTATTAGAAGTTGAATCTCATTTTCAAAATTACTGCTCAAAAAAGTATTTTGAAGTCCCTTCAATAAAACCAGAAAAATTAATTTACATAATTATATTCATAAAGTTTTTCCAGAGGTTTTTTTCTGAAAAAAAAATTTGGATATTACCTCTTGCTTTCTGAAGAACTGCAAGTTCTTCTTGATTGACCAACAGTTTCAAAGTGACAGAAGTTTTAGTGACATGAAAATAAGCCTGATTTCAAAATCAACATTATAATTTTAAATCCTTTGCATTATTCTCAAAAATTTTAAAAAAATACTGAGTGCTGGACGTTCCACACTGTTGCTGTACCTGAGAATGAGCTGGAAATTCATAAAAATTTTCATAATGTTTGTAAGAATTATTTTGTGTGCAGATATGCAATATTTTTCAATGGGTCCATGTTGCAACCTTCTTGTTTTTTACCTTTCCACTTAAGCCCCTTGAAAATATTTATTTTTAAAAATGTACTTTCTCTTGAAAAAGGATGATTGGTTTCCTGCACTGCTTCAATTTCAGAATTTTTGTTGAATGCAATTGGTATGAATTCCCCCCCCCCCCCCCCCCCCCCCCAAATAAAAAAAATGTTTTCATTTTTTATTGGGGAACCCTGTAGCAACATTTAGCACTATAGGTAGAAAAACAAAGTCAGGGTGCAAAGCCAGGTTGTTTATATTTGTTGAGGCTCTTGCCCTGTTGGGTGATGATGGTGACTGGTGATTTAGGAGCAGGGCTTTGCTCTGATTAACCTGCTGCCTGGTTGGAATAATAACCGATGCCATTATCTCCAGGGTCCACAACTGCTCAAGTCTCCGACTTCCTTCCTTCCTTTCACCAGCACCTGGACATTCTGAAAAAAAAATTAACGGAAACCCTGGCCTTTTCTTGATTGGGGTATGACAAAATCTTTCAGAAAAACTGGAAAAAGAATATTTACTTGAGTATACCACGCACAGCTTTTTCTCAAAATTGAGAGGAAAAGAGGGGTTGCACATCATGAGCAAGTATGCATTTCAAAAAGTTGGTTAAATTTAGGGGTATTTGTACTTTAAATCCAGTTGATCAACAAGAAACACTGGTCCAATTTCAACAGAAAAGTGTACTGAAATAAAAAAAATAGAAAGTTTGTGGAATTCAGGCTCTAATGTCATGTCTATATATTCAAATTGGGGAGGAAGGAGGTTTTTGATGTGGGAACATAACTTGAACATTCTTGAACATGCTGAAAAGCAGAATATAAAGCTTGCTCATCAATCAATCAAATTCAAATTTGGGTGTTTCTTATTTTTCTGAAATATTGCAGCTTCAGAGTCACTACAATTGGGTGTTATGAAATTTCTGACTCAAAACCCCTTGCGTGTATTTTCCTTCAGAGCATGTGGTATTTCAGTAAATAAGGCAATTATTTCAACAGAAGAACAGTGTGTTTACAATACAGAGGTTGTACCTCTTACAATTTGAAATTCCGCATTTTGACCATCCCACAATTTATTGGTCAAATTTGCTGGGAGATTGACTTGCAATTTGATCTCACAGCCTGTAAATCAACTTGAATCACAGAGACACAATATTTGAAATTTGATGCAGGAAACATTGAATTTGACATTTTCTTACAATTTAACCGCTTCTCAATTTGACCCTATAGTCCCGCCTGCAACAGATCAAAATCAAATTGTGGGGTACTACCTGTAATGAGCTGTTTTTCCAGTAGCTAGAAATACTGCCAAATCTTTTTATGCAAGGAACCATTTTTTCTTCAGAGGATTTTTTCCAGACTCTCTGTTCAAAAAATATTAACTAATGGAGTTAATTTTAGACCTATTCATGGGCTTGAAGAGGCTAATTTTGCTGTAAAAAGTACCTACAATTTCATAAATAGCCCTTATTATTTGAAATGTATA